TGATTCCGTAGCTGCAAAAGCATGCCACACTCTCTCTGATCAAAAAGCTACAGGATTGGGGCTGGACATCATAGTGCCGTCTGGTTGCCCGCCCGCGCTGTCACAAGTTTAGCAACATGCCTAACCATAGCCAAACGCTCTGCTCATCTGCGCACTCTCACCCCTCATTGTTCTCTATGCTGAGCGCGTGTTCTACTGCTGTATCTGGTACCGGGGCAAGTGCTGTCCCAGAATAGCGCAGGCAATGTAAAGAGGCGGCACCCGGTTGTCATTGCCTTTCAGCCCCGTCCCCGTGCACTTCTGAGCGGAGACAGTGGCTCGGCACTGCAGCTGAGCACCCGTTCGTCTGGTAAGTGCAAGGGCCATCCTCGGAAGTTGATGCACAGCTTGTCTTCAGAATCCGACGGCAGCTGGTTGTTTGGCACCATGACTATCCAGTTCGTCTCGATGTAAGTGATGTGTATGACTCAGGAAAACGGTCGGTTCTTGTGAAGGGTACATAACTTACGTTTCCCACGACCATTCGTGAATCCTGTGCAGCTCTCGAACAAAAAAAGGCTGTCAGTACGCTCGCTGAGACCGATCACGAATCATGTGAAGTGAAGCAGGTGGCGGTAAAGCCTTACAATGTGGGGATCGAATCTCGGTTTAGCTCCCTGTGCCCTCGACAGCCAACTCTCACACCTCACCGAACCCGCTCGATTGGTATCCGACCTGTCTACGAAGACAAGAGCGCGTGTTGTACAGCATACCCAATGAACCAATCATTCTTTAAGTCACCTCCGCCTGAGTGGCGTGAATTATGGAAAGTAAGAATTGGTTTTACTTATCACTTGAATGATAAGCTTTGTCATTTTCTCAGACTCCATGAGCGCAGCGCTCTCAGTATGACTCATTTCATAGCATCATTTCCCCCTAATGGCAGCCGCTGCCGAGGAACTAGGAGCTGAGGTAGTTAGAGTTGTTCACTTTCAACTGAACTTCTTTCACGACCAGCGCTCAGTTTATACTTGACTGCTCATGTGGAACATTGGCGTTCCTAATGCCCGAGCGTTGCCACCGGGATTGGCTCTCGAATTGTCAGCTGCCGCGCTTTACCACTCTTTCTCCCTCGACGATACGCCCAGGAATGCCGGGTGGCCGGTGCCAGTAGACAACCTCGATGACCCATTCCGCCGCACAGACCACCGTTCGGACGAACATGTAGACTCCGCAGAGTATTACCTTGAGTGTACAATCTTGGCACGACAGAGATGTAATCGGAAGTAGCCGATGCATGCTGCCTGCTCTTCGAGCTCAAAACCAATCGGCGCTGCTTTTGGAGTTTCGGATTCTCTGGTTGTACCGGTTTCTGGGGTGAACAAAGCACTCCCATGCTGCTGCCACGACGTGGGCGTTAGCTACGCAGGCCCGCAGTTCAATAGACTACGCCTCGAAGGCGCGCCTCGTTTCCAGAAATTTTAAGTTGTGCACCTAAATTACTGATGACGAGGTGGTAAGTAATAGAAAGTAATACAAAGTTGAGGAACAAACCAGGAAAAACCCGCCCGAAAGCCCTCCGGGAGACGGGCAAGAGAATCGTAATTTGTCGCTCCGCCGCGCGCGGCGTTTACTTAACTCGTGTTAACCTGTCGACTGGAGCACCGGACTTCATGTAGACCCCATCATAGTAGACATTTATATTATGATTCTCTTGTCACAGACCCAAGGCCTCCTATTGGTCACATCACAGTCCCTGGGTTTCTTCGTGCATAAGCCGAGGAAAGTGCGTAATCGAACGAGTTCTCCCTTCTTGGCTCGAGCTCTTTCTCCTTATCACCTCAGTCTCACCATTCAAAATCGAGACAGCCAGTAGCAGAACAACCGCACTACCAAGAGGTTTTTAGCAAGGGAACTTTTGTGCTGCATGGACCTGTGGGCGGGGCGCTGCCTTCGTCGAAAGCGAGTAGCGCTCTTCTCATGTTTGAGCTGCAAAAGCGGTACATCCTCCGACTTTGCCGACAGCACTATATTGTCC